TATATACGGCGTAGATATAGCGTAAACATAATTGTTCGTGGGCGTATCCCCATTAATATTATATATCTTGCTACGGCCTAGAGTACTGTTTGAGTCGGCTCGACTGATGCTGTCTTTTTCCGTGTAAGCCAGATGCCAAATGGTAAGTTGTCATCGACTGCTGCTTGAGTCAGTAGGAACCCGCCTTAACAGCAACGGGCTGAACGAGATCTGGCTATATGGAGATGCTTACATCCTACATGTACTACTGCTCCTAAAACATGATCAATATGATATGCGCATATGGCATATACGTAACGCAGACTCGCAATGAAACCGTTATTGACGGCGGGCAGATCTGTACGGATCTGTACAGATCAACAGCAACCTCAGTCGAATCACAACGGCGGGCCGAATGTCATTTTTCTCGTGCATGTGCCCCAGTAACAAAGTTCCCTGTCCTAATTTTTCGAACACACGTTTGCCTTACTGCGACGAACGCTCGTGACTTGTAATCAAGCGTAACTAGCTTTCGATTCCTTGTCGGATACAGATATAACAAGCAACTGGTGAAGTCGATTAGGCGCTGGAGACCGCCACGTAGTGCTGACGTCTTTGAAGAATTCTTGTCCGCGCCACCATCAATACGCTCAGTTTAGCCATACTATGGTACATGCATTTGATATAAACAGCGACGCGAATTGGAAACTGAGAGCTATTCGCGACGCGTAACCACGACTAGCTATGTGCGAGTTTCCGTATATATCAACAGAGACGTTTGAGATAGTCTAGTTCTCCGCTCAATCGAGCTGGAATGTCAACTAACAGATTTCTAGATACCGTTCTATACAACCACTCGATCTAAGCTATTGTTCGCGTATAGTCCTATTTGCGGTTCTGTTCAATTTCTCAATTTCGCTTGATTCACTCTATCGACATCTCTCTGTTAGTCGATGGTTGTCCTGGTGGTGCATCGAAATCGGCTGCTACGGACATAATAATTGCCACAGCCGCACTAAGCCCAGCGTCGGCGTCATGTTTCATTCGTGTCGCATACGTGCACGTGGACCGCACCGTTCCAAGTATCGAGGAAAGGTCCATGTCGTGTTGTTTTTTTACTTCGTTTGTTAGCGTGCTGCACGTCTCCTTGTACGATGCGTTCATCGTGCACGCTGGTGCGATTTGTACACTGCATCTGTTCAAGGCAAACAAACAAACGAGGAAACTACGTGGCAGATCGGGAGTCGACTATTCGACTTAACCTTAGTCTAGTTTAAAGTGCTGGATAGTAATTGTGCTTTCTATGAACTGCTATGGCAAGGTAGACGACAAATGGTTTTCAGATTGGGTCTATTGGATTGTGTATATGTACGTACATGTGCTTGTGTCTGTGTCTGTGTATGTTGTGTCTACGTGTGTGTATATGACTAGTGTCGCAATATATCGTACCCAGTTGGGATTAATTCGTTATCGACTTGTTGTGGAAGCTTTTGTGTCCTTGGAACGTTCGACGTACGCCGACGATTATGAATCAATGGAGCGTTGATTATTTCAGGTAAAATGTACAACCTTTTGAAACCTTTGTTCCAAAAAGGATTTGATGTATTTTACGGCTGCGGCTGGTTGTTACTGTTACATGAATTCCGAGCTATTTTCAGTAGATTGTCTTCGATAGCAGGGGAGCCTTCGACATTGTCTGAAGCATTAACAAATCAAAAGTAGTGCAGACGCGTCGTCCATTAAAAACGTGCCCTCAGGGTGCTTCAACTACGCAGGACCTGCCGCACATCTCTTTTCGTTGCTTTTCTTGTACACAGAAAAGCGTTTAGATACCTATTCTCTCATTACCTTCCTCTAAGGTACTCCCAACTGAAACTGCCCTCTACTTTCTAATGTCGTTCTAACACCTATAGTTTATGTCAGCACTCAGTGACCCATACTGCCGTTGTATGATTTATGTGATGGAGACACTGGTTCTAGGCACGTGTCACTGAATCTCGATCGGTCGAAGTGATACCGCATAACCACTCAGACCAGTTTATGACTGGGCGAAAATTTCGTCTCGGCAAACCTGTGCAACGTTTCAAACCTGTAGTATGACATATTCAACGAATCGGGTAGAACTTTGTGTGGCCATTGTCATGCCTCTAATACGACAATATTTTTTTACTCAATTATTGCTAAATCAATGAGGATGCCCTATCGGGTGCCTCCTTGTGTTAAAATCCGAACTACAGTCGCTGAACAACAATGCAAAGGGCCGACCAACAGGACAGAGATCAACAACAAAGATGATCTCGTAATTTTACTTGCAACTGTTCCTGTTTACTACTATCGATAGTGTGAAGCTAGTGCCTCTCCTCGTATGTTCTTCGTATTCACGGCAAGCCGTTAATCTCAGTCGCGTAAAACTCGAGATCAACAATCACACGTTAAGAACGACTTCTTATGGTTTAAACGAAGGATTTTTTACTGTTGTACAGACTGCACTTTATACAAGCCGTGCTTTGCGGGCCACAGGACGGAAAATAGGATTGTTTCATTTGATGCTGCCGACACGCTGTCCGTATGGCCTGACATATTCACGTGTTCGTCAGTACGGATTTCCGTGTCGACAAAATTGAATAGTTAGTCTACCGGTTCCGACAAGCTGGCGTCCGCTCCCGGCTCGAGCAGAGTTTGACGTAGCCTGCGCGTATGTAAGGCCGACTTGACCGCTAATTAGGACTCAACATCCGACAGATTCGCGGCCAGCGGCAGCACCAGCTTCGTGTCAACCTACGACCCTTCCGTCTCCAATTCTGTTATTATCGATATGAACGTTACGAAGAGAGGCAAACAGTCCACATCACCGAAAGTACCGCCACCACCAGCGGCACTTGTTACATTGTCGACCACGACGTCCGGCTGCGGCCGCGGCCACAGTAATTGCAAGAGCAGCTCATTTTCGGGCTGTCGTACAGTTCTACATGCAGATAAACAAAATACTGTCCATTATAACAGCACATGCCACTGGCCGCGATGGGCATAGCATTGTCCTGCATCGAAAAGCTGTAATAGTTACGTTTACTGCTAACGAGAGTTACGTGTGCCGTCCTAGTTCGACTGGTCATCGATCCGCACAAGGACAGTGGGCGGTAGGCAACAACTTAGCTTAAAGTTGCTACGTCTACCTCTTCCGCGATTTCTCACTGTTCAAGAGGCCAACATAAAGCAACGGTTGCCACTGTAACTTAGATCATAAACATATATGTGTGTATACTTCGCGCAATTGCAACGGCGAAGTACCGGCCACAGGCTACTGTGAATGTGTATTTTTTTTGTGCCGATGTTACTGCAGAGCTCTGACATGGCTTGTAACTACTGTGTGTGTTCCTACAGCTATTTTTGTGTGCGGGCGTCTGTTTGTTTGTTTGTCTGTTTGATTAATGATTAGTACCGATAGTCAGCTTAGTTCAGTTGGACGTCAACATGGAAATTCGTTATTACTAGCGAATCTTACTGCACTGGTATTGGCCGCTGGACTGGCCAGTCCAGCTAGCTAAGGAGCCGTCTGAGTGGTTTTCTATTATTGATGGTTCAGCTTAGCTTTGATAAATAGGGAAATATATGGGGTAGACTGAGAGACGAGGGGTCATCGCTGGCGTGGGGCTTAACTTGAGTGATCCACTCATTGCTGTAACGGAATTTAGTAGTCAAGCGCTTAGGAAAGAGACGTTTCGTATGATCCACTGCTCGATAAAAGCGCTGGCTAAGGCATTGGTGGAGAGTTAGTGATGGCTGTGGTTACGGCTGTCAATGCCGTTGCCACACTTTCTGCTATTTAAAATGAAAACGCTCAACGTCTAAAGTGGAACAAACTACAGACTAAGGCGACGACAGCAGAAACAATAGTGATTACGACAACCTATTCGTAGCCATGGTTGTGAGACCGTTGACAGTGACAGAGGCTGCGGGTAGTGCGCCATAGATATTTCTATTGCGTCGCACAAACGACTGTTTTGTCTCAATCCTCCGTTCGATCACTGCGGACCTTAAGTGGCAGATAGCTTAGGTTCGCAATGCCGGAAGGCTAGATGATTCCGAAAATACGATATCGTTCTTGACAGCTCCCTCTGGCCTACGACTTC